ATACTAAGGATAAGGATAAATAAATACTATTATAATAAGCGGCAATAAAGGGGCACGAGGGGGTTATTAAGCTATTATTTAATAGTAATATAGTTAACCTAGGCGCTAAAAATAATTATAAAGAGATATTACTATAAGTAATTATTAAGCTATTACTTAATAATAATAAGGTTAATATAAATACTAAAGATAAATATAAATAGATATTATTATTATAAGTAGTAATAAAAGGGAGTAATATAATTATTAAGCTATTACTTAATATTAATAGGGTTAATATAGATATTAAGGATAATTATAAATAAATACCGCTATAATAAGTAATAAAAAGTAATAATAAGGTAATTATTAAGCTATTATTTAATATTAATAGAGTTAACTTAAATATTAAAGATAAATATAAATAAATATTATTATTATTAATAATAGAAAAGAGGTAACGTACATGATAAGCATGTGCACCAGACAAGGGTACGCACCACTTGGATTTTATACTATAAATTTAAGTTTTAAAAGAATTCTTGAAAATTCAAATTTAGCTTTAAATTAATAAAAACTTATAATTATATTAATTATATAGAGATATTTAATATATAAACTTCTAAAGCATTATGTGTTTTTACTTTTTAAGTTATTAAGAAAAAGCTTATTAGCACTGTGTACCTTACTATATCTAGCTTAATAATTTAATTAAAAATATATTAAAATATAAATTAATTTAAATTAAGTATACTAAACTTAATTATTATAACCTTTTAAGTCTAAAAACTCTAGAGCTAGATTTTAGTTATCTAGGGTAGGTTATTTTTTGGCTGCACAGTATAGTGGTGCATATACTTGTTTGGTGCACATGCATATCATATACGTTATAAAATAATTATTAAGCTATTACTTAATATAAGTAAAGTTAATATAAATACTAAGGATAAATATAGAGGATAAATACCGCTATAATTAGCGATAAAAAAGAGGCATAAGGTAATTATTAAGCTATTACTTAATAGCGGTAAGGTTAATATAGACGCTAAGGACGAGTATAGATAGACGCCGCTATCGAGAGCGGCAGAAAAGGGGCACGAGGCAGTCGTTAAGCTCCTGCAAAGGCGTCCTTAACCACCTCCCCACCCACCACCTGCCACCCACCACCTGCCACCCACCACCTGCCACCCGTCATTTTTTATCTACACCTTATGGGTGGCAAATAGACGGCCATAGAAGGTAACAAATTTTCTTAGTTATGTAGCAGCTGGGTCTTAAGTTTTACCATCATGAATTTGCCGAGTCCTTTTAGGATATGAATGAGAGTCATAGCTTTAATCCACAGAATATCTCCACGACACCGAAGAAAATGGAGAACATCTGGTTTGCTTGTATATCCCGTCTAAACTTCCTCTTTAACCCACTCCCTCTCGAGAACCTCCTAAAACCTATATCCCCCAAATTATTAGTTGAGTCTGCCCTAATTTACGCCAGCCGCATTGGTCGTTTACCCCCCTTCTAGAAAGCATAGACCCTCGAAACAACTAGCGCAGTAGACGTGCTTGCATAACGTATGCACTAGGTTCTCGGCTTCCGTCTAGCAAATGGCACATCGCTGATTGAGCTAGCGTCTGGCTCTGCCCTTGACGCTCTTTCTCTACCTTGAAGGATTTCTCGCGCGGCATTGAAATCAGCCTCAGATCGCGCCATAGGAATGCGACGGAGATTGGAGACGATGTCCAAGGTGACTTTGGCGGCGACGGCACAGTTTGCCCCTGAACTCTGGATGCACGCATGCGGCGAAACGCTGATGAGAAGCATTAATAGGATTCAAAAGCTAGGAGCGCATCGGATCGGCGCGGCGCCGTCAGATCAATGCCCATGTGGTCAAACAAGTGAAACAGTAGAGCATTTTCTCTTCTAGTGTGAAAGGTGGATAGCATAGCGCACACAGATGCTTCAGTGTACCGAGACGAGAAAGGGCAACCCTTGGATCTACCGATACTTAAAGAGGCTGACCAAGCCATCGTTGTTGTCGGCGAATCTATCCAGAAGTGAAGGATAGCCCTCATCGCCGCGTTGTGAGCCCGGCCCGTCGAGGCCGTTCTCGCTCTCGGAACCTTTTACTGTCTGCGTCGCCGTCCTTATCTTGCATCGGTTAATGTACAAGTGAGGAACGGCGGCGGGACGTTGATTCCCGAGGCAGGGAAGATACCTAGGTTTTAAATGGCGATCCCAAATCGGCCTCTGGGGGCTCAGTCTCGGCATTGCTGGACCGTAGCTTGCGTCGTCCGAGGCTTATGTGGTTCGGGTGATATTCTTGTTGCGGGAGATGGAGTGCGGATTGGAGGGATGCTATCATCACATTAAGTGCTTATAAATACTTCACTATCCTGGAGTGGCGTCTGGGCCACCTCGACGGGGCTGGCAGTACGTGGACGGCGTATGCATACTGACGGGGAACCTGGAGGACTCTGGGCTCTATGATAAGACCCCTCGTGAAAGATAGCTTCGACCGTCATGTCGCCCATTTCGCTGATAGATACTGGGTGAAGCTATTGTCTGTCGCACTTGAATATTGCTGACTTTCGGGGCTTTGAAGCGAGTCCGCAAAGTTGGCATCTTCATAAGTAGAGATATTTCTAGCGATCGTGTCTCTCCTTTGAGATTGCTGACTCGATTCGGTGTCGGTGACCTGGGAGTATGCTTGGCTTAGTGTCCCCGCCGGTGGTAGCGTCTGATTTAGTTGGGCCACATTTGGTGCCTGTGCTATCTATGCTCTAGTTGTTAGGCCCTATTACCGTAAGGAAAGTGTTAAGTGCTTACCTAAACGGTCTGCGATACTGGTTGACGTTGGTGTTGCATAAGATTGCGAATAGTCGAAGTCTTGATGCTTATCGCCGTCGTCTCATGTATTAGAGCCGTCATCAGAGGGAATCTAATGGCAGTGTCCCTGGATTCTCTAATAGCCCAGAGTGCCTCTTTGTCGCACAGTGATGCAGTGACGGCTTAAGAAGTAGGCAGAGTGAAGCTTTGCCGCAGCTTCTGCTGCTTAGCACGGAGTTGTCGATGCTATGTTTAAGTTGTCGTGTCTAAGGAAGAAAAGAGATGAGGAGTTTGGTCTTGCAGTATAGCCAAGGGGAAGATGGACGGCCATTGTCTGGTTTATATGCTCGCAGTCAAGCCGCATAGGTCCCAAAGTCTGCCGGAGCGCGACTTAGTTTCTTCCTGTTGCCCTGCCTTTCACCAACGTCACCACTTCTTCTTTATGCGAATCATTTAACTGCCGGGCCACAAAAATACAGCTGCGCCAGTATAGATGATTCTCTTTGTTTCATCATCTAGTCCATCGCTAGGGATCTAAGTCCTGTCATTGGCAAGGTAGAGTTCTCGGAGACGCCGGATCAAGCGTGTCTTCGTGGCTGTTGGCTGTTCAACACCGACTCGCGATTTCCAGTTGGTCAGATAGCACCGGAATGGAAGTTTCCGGCAGTATTAGCTCTTCCGTCTGACCCTGATGGAGCTTAACGCTGCGCACGCATATGTTGGCCGTCCATAGATCCTAGCTTCTTAAACCATCCAGAGGACTTAAGAGCTCGAGATGCTGTCATAAACGCCTGATGATCCTGGAATAGTGAGATAACTGATGCCGACATGCGTGCGAGGCCAATAACTGGGCGGAGTACGCCCGTCTCCGTCCCCTCTCTTCACCCGCTCATCTCTTTCGATGTTACCGGTAGTTGTAATCTGAACATTCTTGTCGAACCACGCCAGTCCTCTCTGAATGCCACGCCACTCCGCTAAGAGAGCAAGCAAGGGATGAGGAGAACTCCAGTTTCCATCATGTTGAAAGTTCGTTAGATGGAGGCCTCTCGCCCCGGAAATAGAGAAAGCTTTATCTCAGCTGCTGGCCACCAGGGGTTCTTGATAATTCCACTAGTCCAATTCTTAACATCTCTCAACTCAGGGAAAGCCACATGACGCGTCTTAGGGATTAGCCAATTAAGGGCAACAATAATTATGCGGTGATCCTACCATATACTAGCAAGGAAAGCCGAGCCCTTCCGCTTAGTGGGCCTCGAAATACGCCTAGCCAAGGTAGATTAGACGGGAATTCCTCTTTACTGGGGCGTACAGCAATGGGACCAAGAGTGGTGGTGCTATTGGGGAACCTTGGTTGTTCAGTTAGTCAGGGGATAGCACTTACACCAAATTGGCAACAAGACGTTAGGTATAACCGATTTGTCTCTAGTGTTCGACATGAGACAAAAGCAAGGCGGACCCCGGACAGGCCGATAAGAACGCGGGCAAACGGAAGTGAGGCAGAGTCAGGAGCGTTGTTACACACCCTCAGAGACATCATGACTATGGATGACACGAGAACTACGACCAACCAGAACGCCCGAGGCACCACCATCGGAAGGGCGTGGCTATCTGGCGGAACTTCCTCGACTAACCCGAAGATGATGTTAGGCGATGTTCATTATGTGTTGTTATCTAGGTAATATGCTAGGGCATCTATCCGCGGCCTGAGGCGCGGGTATACGGCAAGGAGGAAATGAACTTCGCGTCTCTAGAGATATCACGAGCTGAATCTCAGGAGTATACTATACTATTCTTATCAATCAAGGTTATATTTAAGTATTATATGCTTATCCTTCGTCCTAAAATATCTACCCGTTATCTGAGGCGCAAGCATACGCCTGCTAGTTCACGCTCCGAAACATAAACTTCACCATCATTAGCCACCGAGACTTCCATCTAATACCTTTTCGCCACGATCACCTTAGGCCACTGCCCCCCTATACTACCTTCTATCTAGAGGAATGGCCGAGCCGGTATCCTTCCTTCCGGTTGATCTCGGCTATATAAGGGCGCTTCGATATAGGTATCCTTAGCTTAGTATTACGGTCATCAGATTAACCCTATAACGTCCCGGCGCCGATAAGGCAGAATAAGGTAATTCATCGTTAATAATATTAGTTCCTCTATATTCTATAAGAGTAGTAGAGTAGCTAACCATGTATTTCGCTAGACTTACTATCTATCGACTTAATATTCTAGATAAGCAACCACGTAGGTATAGAATAGGTACTATTGCGAATTTAATATTAACTCTAGGATAACCTAAACTAGAGGAATATACCGGTAACTAATAATAAGATGCTATATATTTATCTCTAATTTTATTAAAGTAAGTATTAAGCGAGCTATACAAAGTAAATAAGCAAGTATCTAAGAGGTTTCTTATTATAGGGTTATTCTATTTTTATTAATTACCGGGGGCTAAAACTAGAATAGCTAACCCATATTTCTTATTAGCTCACCCGGAGCTCACTACCGGCTCAGGTAAAAGTAGCGACTACTTAGGATCGTGGGCGAGAAAGGAAAGAGTATAAGTCGATATTTGCATTGCGTATTATTCTGTTCCGACATCTTAACTCAACCGCTGGCACGGATATGAGCAGGACTGCAGGTAATGAGTATTGAACATGAGCAGAACTGTAGAATTCGAGTGACATTCTGGAGTCGAGGCAGTCTGGTTGTAAGTATAAATAGATCTTCTGATGTTGCAAATTCTTAATTCTTACTCTCACAATCATTGCACCTTGACACCAACTCCCCAACTCACCATTTCTCTTATTCCACAGCTCTTAGCAACTGACAATATGGCGCAAGACCAAGCGAAGATTATCACCGAGACTGATGCTCACGAGATCATTGGCTACGCGAGTCAGCCGCCCCCTGAGGGGTCAGCCCCAAATGACTTGGATCAGGACTACATCTTCAAGAGCGCGATGGAAACCCTAACGCGCCTTGACGAGTTGATCGTCAAGGTGAACGGCCGAGAGCACAATCCCATCAGGGGCGCCGAGTGGCTGTCAGGGGACGCCAAGGACCTCTGCGATAGGCTCGTCGAGGCCAAGAAGCCCGTTGTCGAGCTAGTCGACCGGCTCAGAAAGAATGGACCACCAGTCCGAGAAGAGGATAACAGCATGTATTTGGAACTGTTTGGTTATTGGAATGTGGTTGATCCTCTTATTTCGGAGGCCTATAAGTTTCTGGGACACTAAGCTGTGACAGGGGAGTTTGGGTGGTTTGTTGGTGTGACATGGGATAAGGAGTTATCTTGGGAGATTTATTAATACAAGTAGATCTGAATTCATGTTTGGTGTTTTGGTGTTATACCTGTGGTACTGGGCGTGAAATGTGACAATGTCGTTAATTCAAAAGAAGAGGCTATAAATAACAGTGTTATTTCCCGTGTTTCTAGACTGCTTCTTTGTCTCAGTCAGTTGGATCGCAAGGGTTTTGACGGGAAGAGCGATGCATTGGTATCTTGATAGTATGAAACCGTGACCACGACAAAGAGAACGTCTTGATAGGCGCTGATAAGGATCCTGGGCAGTTTTTCATGCTTCCGTCTTAGCACGTATACAACATTAGTCAACTGAATCAATTTCTAGCCTCAGCGGAGTACGGCATGACTGCATTAACTCATGTGTGAGCTGTTCTGGCAATATGCCATACCCGTTCTCACACAAAACAGTTGAGTTCAGATAATGATTACAAGAACAAGCTCTCTGGGAGACGCCATTTATATGAACAACAAAGAGTTGAATTGAACGACTCAAGTCCTTTTTTTCGTTTTGAAACCGCACAACTTGTAGATAAATAGGACATTTTCTCGTTCTACCTGTTACTCTTCTCAACATCGCACCCTGATAACAAGCATCTACTTGTCCTGGGACTTTCCTTACTTCATTCATCTTCCAACAACCTTGATTCTCCGTAGCCTCCAAGATGAGATTTTTCAAGAAGACCGCTGACAAGGAGACTGAAGATGGGTTGGTCATTTGCCCCGCCGCCCAGCCGCCGCACATCCTTGACCAGGGTGATCGACCTGTGCCGCTTGACTACGTCGCCGAGCCGCCGGACAACCCTGACCAGGCTGGTCGACCCGTGTTGCCTGACGAGAAGGTGCTCGAGGAGGCGAAGCAGCAAGGCAGGGACTCCCTCATTCAGAGCGTGATGAAGACGGTTCAAGAAGTCGACGATCGCATCTTCAAGATGAACGAGCTAATCCTTAATTCCGTCCCTGGAGGCGAGTGGCTGTCGCCGGACGCCAAGGACGTCCGCGATAGGCTCGTCGAGGCCAAGGAGCCGATCGCCCAGATGCTCAAGGAACTGACGGAGCCCGATCCGAATGTCGAAGGGGATGAGGTCAAGCTGTTTGTGAGATTTTGGTCCTTCTTGGCCCACAGTCAAAAGGTCTGTCTGGAATCAAACAGATTCTTGGGCAAGTAAGCCTAGATGGTTGGTTTGCGTGCTCTGTTGGTGGGAAGTAGTTGTTATGGCTGTGTTGTAACTAAATAGGTAGATCAAGCAATTGATGTTTGGTGTCTGGCGTTTTACTTATTGTGCTCGCGATGAAATGTGATAATAAGTACTAATGTGTTCTTTATTATAGTTGCAGCCGGGCCCTTGATAAGTTAACTGAGCCAGAAGATGGTGATAAGAAGTGCAATCGAGAGAAGAGGCTACCGAGATTGGCAATACGCAAAGATAATCGCTTGCATGACTCAAGATGTCTTTAACTGAGGCAGCTCTTAGAAGCAGTATACGACGTTCCAGGAGTTGACTATAATGTATTGCACTAGTCATGTAAGAAGGACCGGATACTTCTTGTTCTTGCTCTGGTCGACTGTCTTCCGAACTGGTTTCCATAGAGATTCTTGAAAGGGGTAAACAATAGATATTGCACGTCAACGATTTAGACGTATATCACACATCAAATAAAGCTTCTGCCATGCCCTAGATTCAAGTTGTTTAACCTCATGGCATACTCAAAGGCAGACTAAGGCGCCTCGTAAGAGAAACACTGTTACCAATACAGTTAAGCCACTATGCCCAATGCCTTTCAACGTAATAGTCAATATCAAATATGCTTTACAAATGCATCCTCAACACTCTGCCTCAACGAACCTTATTCATCAAGAACACGTTGACGATTCGCAATCATAAAAGCGGCTCTCGTATCAAGGGCCGAGCTTCAACTATAAAAAAGAATGCAAGACTCCTTTCTGGCAATGACAACTCACCATCACCACCAACAACAACAACGGCGCGACGCAACACAACATCATACACGAAGTGGCGACACAAACCACGCGGTGCATCCTCCCACTGGACAACTCAAGACCGGAAGCAAGAGTACAGATGTCACAGGAAATCGCGAACTCCTTCGAGTAATAATGCCCTCTTCTCCAAGAAGCCCGATACTCCAGCAGGCTGCAAGTTCAGAGAAAGACTGGGACTGATCGTTGGACTCCCTCGTCGGCAACACTGGCTTCTGTCAAGGTGATGGTGGAAGGTTCCAATCATCACATTCCTTTCTGTGACTCTCGAGACAATGAGCAAGGGCCCATTGCCATGGTTCGTCGCCGCTCATACCATGCTAGTAACGATTCACTCCCCAAGGCCAGTCCCATGAAACATTTTAGAATCAGGGCTGTATGGCTAAACCTCAGCAGATGCCTCCGAAGAAGTCTCAGTCGGGGGACGCCACTAAGCCCAAGCGGCAAACACCACGCGACCCTGACCACTACTTGAAGCACTTCACTGCCAATGGTGGGCAGTATTGTCCGCCCGTGCAAGTTAGCGTTAGAGACGGATTGATTTCGACAATGCTCCTCCAATTGCGCAATTCACTGGTGCCCTCCTGGTGCTCCGACAAGGACCGACAGTATCTACCTGAGGTCAGACATCAGTGCGAAGCAGCTGTTCCGGATCAAGAACCCCTTTTATTTTGTTCTCGGTGGATGCTCGCCTTGGAGGACGCCCAGTGTGGGAATTCTAGTGACATCAAGAAATGACAACCTCATCAGAAACCAGAGCAAAGGACGCTGCGATTGGATTTTTCAGTGCGATCTTGGCTCAGCAGGTAATAATTCTTGTCTACAACCATGTCTGCGAGCCGAATTCTCTATAAAACGCTGGAGTCAGCGATTGCATTATCAAGCGGCCTGAAATACGCCTGGTCCTGGTTCAGCGCAGGGAATTGGAGCCTCTACTATCGGCACGTTCTAGGGGCACAATGTCGACATGGCCCTCCTCTACCTCGCGACAGGATACACCACGCGACAGACGTGACGCCCTTGAAGACCGCAATCCATCGTGACGTTGGGGAGATGGTCTTGGACGTCGCCTTGTTGGCGTGACTTGGCGGCTCCAGTTTCAGGTCTGGTAGAGCTAATGCCAGTCAGCATATTCAGCCTTCAGTTGGTGATCGCCGCCCAAGATGCCCAGGATATTGGTAGGTGGTTGCCCAGGAAAAGACGGAATAAAGTGAACCCAACTGGGCAAATCGGTGTAAACAGGACCGCAATAGCGTGTCCTCCCGATGGTCTGACCTTATCAGGGCAAAAGCTCAAGGCTGCCCTGCGCTGCCTCAAGGAGACTGGCCTCATGAGGCTGCTGGAGCCAAAGAAGCTCCTTGCGGTCTCACGGCCTTTGTCAGACCTCCAGAGAGTCAACTTGGTCTTCTTCGATTGCCGCTTGCTTGAGCTCGAGAAACTTCTTACACCCCAGGAGCAGTCCTTCGTCGGTCATCAGAAGCAACGTCTAGATGGCCTCATTGGGCGTATCGAAAGTGAATAGACACATTGTTATCCTTAATTGGTGCTCTGCTGGGCCACCCAGCGACGCCCACACGAATAGACAGAAGTGCAAAGCTCACTCGCATACACGGAAATTAAGTACATAAGTAGAAGGATGTGACCCATTTCAGCTAGAGGAGAAAACTTTTGAATCTACGAGACCATGCCTGCTACACAAACTTACTATCTCGGCGATGAAGAGTTTGATGGCTGGGCAGGCCCAGTGCGAGTCACCTACAATAGCCACGTGAGACAGAATCTCCAAGGGGGTGCCAATCCCGTGCTAAAGAGGGCACTTGAAGACATTTCTGTTCAAGCCGCTCTTGAGCGTGCGTTCGCTACTGTGCATGTTCGGTAAGACGGACCTTTCTCAAGTAGCTTCTTCTGACACGCACAGCTCAAGTGTTCACGTCACGACAGTTGATGAGTTTGGTCAGAGATTCAACTACGATCCTCATATAACTATTGAGTGTAGCGGAATTACTGGGCATGTGTACTGCACTGGTTTTGCCTACCTACACTGAGCTACCACCGTACTGGTACAGCGATATGGAGTTTTCTCACGCCAAGCGGGAGGATCGTACGCCTTCTACTCAAGGCTCATGTTATGATTCCCCAGTCGTAGGACAGAGACCTACTGCTAGCGTCTATTACACGGGCCATGAACCCAACCCGCCTTCTCCTCCTTTACCACAGTGGGTTGCGAGACCAGCCTATGTTGCGGCTCCCGGAGTTGAGTATCAGTGGTGGGATGGACAAGATTTACCCATCACATGGCGTGAGTATAGCCTCTAAGTCTCTGATAGAGAGTCGATTTCACAGAGACTAGTTCCCCGTGTGAGACTGGCAGGTCTCCTAATTACTAAGGCGGTATACGTGGACCACGAAGAGCTTTCAGCAGGGGCAACGGTTTGACGTAATGGTTATGAGGTCATTCAATGTATTGAGCTCTAGTTATAAATCTTGTCCTGCAGCCCAGGAAGAATTTCCAAATCCTTCTTGCTGTGCTCATACTTTCCATTGGTGATCTTGGCACCGCTTGTTGGACGCTGCTGCTGCGTTTGGCGGACCTTGACCCATTGCTCTGTTGTCAGATGCTGGCCTAGTTCTGTAAACACGTTGGATGTCAGACCGAGCCGCTTGAGAAGGGGGCTGTTGTCAATAGGGTCGAGAACGACATTGTTGTTGGGTCTATGATTTATCAGTATCATGTAAAATAGTGAAGACGGATGACTCACCTGGAAAAGTACAACACACCCAATCGGTCAATGTGTGCCTGATCTGCTGGAGGCGCATGCACCCGATGAATACTCGACTTGATAAGTCCACCCGTCAAAGCCGTCAAAGCATCACAAGTATTAATAGTGATGGTCCCATCCTGGGGCTTGACCCATTTCCACTGACCCTCCGAGTTGAGAATCTGCAGGGCGGCAACAGGCTGACGGAACAGAAGCGTCAACGTGCCAAGGTCTGTATGTCCGGGGACGTACAGGGCTCCAAGCTTCTGGTTTTCTTCCTGGCCTCGGGCGGCGTAGTGCATGTAGCGGAGGTGGTCTTCGCCCTTGACGTCGTATTGGTGGGCGCGGACGAGTTGGTCTTCGTCGGGGAGTTCGAGGAGGATTGCAAAGAGGCGGAGAAGTTTGACCACGACTTCATCGTGGCATTTCTGAAAGTGTTAGAGGTAAGAAAAGGTGTGTGTGTGGTTTTACTTACACGACTGAAGGCTTCAATCTCCTTGATGTTGGCACCTAGAACAGGTGGCTGATGACGCTCGTGGAAGCCGTCAAACTTGGGAATATTGTACACTTGAATATTGTCCTTGATGCCATTTCCGATACTGCATAATCTTGGATTAGTTGAAGCGAGGAAGAAAAGGAGTCCTACTCACATCCGATTGCCAGCCGGCCTGTACCCGTTGTACTCTCCCTTGACCAGATCGCTCTCATTGTGATACTTGAGCTTCTCTTCCAGAGGCAGGGCATAAAATTCTCGGCCTAGAGCGAATTGACGGTCGACCTCTTCCTGGCTGATGTTGAAGTTTTTGACGTAGAAGAAGCCTGGACTATAATTAGGCGTTGCACCAGAAGCTCGTGTTGTTGTTACCCACCAATGTTGCGGACGGCGTGGTCGAGCTGCTTCACAAGTTCTTCCTTGCCGCCAGGTTGGTCGAAAAGGCTCAGGTCAAGAGTTGCCAACTCTGCCCAATCCACTAGTCGCTCATTAGTGACGCGTCAAGACGTTGGCTACGGTAGACTTACGGTCCTCCTGGGTCACTGGGACTTGCTCATATCGGTCGATCAATACTCCCGGCATTTTGAATCAGGTGTCGTTGAAACTTGCGGGGTTAAAGGCAGGGATCAGATAACAACATCAAAGGCGATGAACAAGATAATAAAGAAAACCCCGGCCGAGCACGCAATATATACCCACTCCCGCGTTGTGCGGAAGCACTATCCCGATCCCCGGAGTTATCGGTCCTGGCCCGACAGACAACGGCAATTATTTCCGGCCTTGACCAATGAGATTGAATCTTTTGATATCTTGTTCGCGTTAAATTATACCGATTGCATGGTGGTTTGTAGTAGATCTAAGCACGTAATGCATGCGACCAGCACATCATGCGGGAACCGACAACTACTGCAGGGCCGAGTGGGATATAGGACGTAGTTTTGGGGTAACTTCCCTGTAGATCCCTCGTTTATTCCCATTAAAGACGTTTTTATAATCCTATCGTGATAGTTTGACGACATGACGTCTTATGAGGAGTATGAGACGCCATCCGAGTCTTGGCCATTTTCAGTATTTGCGACTTCGGAGCTCTGATAGATATCCTAGTGCGTTTCATTAGTTCTGGAGCCTCGGTTCGTGAGAGTCATGTCGGAGATGCTTATTATTCTCGGATCTTCCACTTGCTGTTGTCCGAAGTGGCTGTTTGAAAGACCTGGACTCAGTCAGGTGAAAGTCTATCAGGCAGTCTTGAGAGAACTTGTCAGTCTCTGTTCATCATGACAACCACCGACATCAAAAAGAAGAGGCTATCATTGCTTGGACTCTTGAAGGAAATTTTTAACTGGTATCCTTCTGAATATCCCTCGGAGGAGCGAAAGTATGCACAGCCAAGTACTGTCCTGAACATGACTGACTGGCTCTAGATTACTCTTCAAGCTCGATGTTTCAATTTTGGTCTTTGCATGTCTATGCTGTAAGTAACCTAGCTATTATACTCGGGCTTACGGGAACTAACGAATGCCAAGTCTTTGTCAAATTTCTAGGTAGGTTTCACCTCACCCATTGAGTTTCCAATCTAACACAAGCAGATCAAACCAACATTAGCAATGCATACGTCAGCGGACTGAAGGAGGACTTTGGCCTCTACGGAAACGAGCTCAACTACTTCAACGTCTGCTACTACACGGCTTATGTCGTCTTTCAGGTTCCAGGCATGTTGTTGATGTCTCGACCGGCATTGTAAGAGTAAACCCCTTGACAGTTGTTCATGATGCTCATATTTAGATAGAGCAAGGTGGCTTCTTCCGACTCTGGAAGTTCTCTGGGGAATCGTCACCTTTGCTCAGAGCCGAGTTACGAATGTGCACCAACTTTATGCGGCACGTTTCCTTGTCGGAATGCTCGAGGCTCCTGTATTTGCAGGCACACATTTCATCCTGGGTAAGCCATCACCAACCCGTCTTCTACTGAGTGCTAAATGTGGATAGGCTCCTGGTATAGCGGCCCTGAACTCTTTAAGCGCGCCGGAACTTGGTTCATCTGCAACCCCCTCGGATCAATGGTGAGCGGTTACCTCCAAGCCGCTGCTTACAAGAACCTATCTGGTGTTGGCGGCATGCCTGGATGGAAATGGCTCTTTATCATCGATGGCATCTTTACCATCCCTGTCGCGTTTCTAGGCTTCATCATTTTCCCTGGGGTTCCTGACTCGCCGAGACCCTTCTTCCTGACTGAGAATGATATTTCATTGGCCAAGCAGCGTCTGGAAAGGTACCGGATCCGACGTCCTGGAAAGATTGGACGCGATGTGTTTAAGCGCACTATCAAGAGATGGCATATTTGGGTTTTTGTATTCTGCTACATGTGAGTTCAAAGTACTCAACTGAGATGCTATTGACTAACGGTTCTAGCTGCATGATCATCTCTTCCTATCCTTCTTCGTACATGAATCTCTGGCTCAAGGACGAAGGTTATTCGGTTGGACAGATAAACACGCTACCGACCGTCACCTCTGCCATCACCATCGTCGCTTCTTGGCTTGGCACGACCTTGGCGTCTATTTATCCGTCGTGGATCATATACACCATCGTTGAGGGTTCTTGTATGTTTGCGACAATCTGCATGATTGTGTGGAAGATCCCCAAAGGGCTAAAGTAAGTTAATGAGACTATTGACGAGGGTAAAGCTGACCAACGTGCTAGATTCTTTGCGTGGTACCTGTTTGGTGTATCAGGCTGTGCAAGCCCGATCTTGTATTCAACGGTCAACACCATCGTCAAGGATGACTCTGAGGAGCGAGCCCTCATCATGGTAGGCATAGATTCACCCACCTGTACTCACTGCAATCAGCTAATAGAGCAAGGGGTCGATGATGACATTCGGGTATTCTTTCTACATCTGGGTTCCTCTCCTACTCTTTCCCACAGCTGGACCCAATGGAGCGCCCAGATGGCGCAAGGGCTGGCCGGTTACGCTGGTCTTCTTCTTCTTGCTTTGGTCAGGGTTCATCACGGCCATTGTGTTGTGGAAGAAAAGGTGAGAGATTCATAGCAACGAGGTACAAGCATCTAACTTGTGAATAGTGGTAAAAAGGCAGAGGAGACTCCTGCCGATGACGAGAGTGCAACCGAGGATAGTTTAGTTGAGGGAGAGTCTATCACTGTCCAGCGGGGATCCGATTCTAAATAGTAGGGGAAGACGCCCATCAGCGTGTCGAAATGCGCGAGAATAGGAAGCATGACACGCCATCTGCAGCATTTTCCATGTTGGAGCTCCGATGGAAATCCTACTGCGTTTCATTAGTTCTGGGGCCTCGATTGACGAGATCCATGCAAACCCAACTGGCTATCGTTGAACCTCTCGCCTGAGCGGCTCGATCTCGTGCCAGCGACGAGTTGAATGCCAATTGAACAAACAACCTTGAAAGCAACAAGCTCGCCGCTGGACCTCTTGGAGGAGAACTCGAGTGTACTATAACCCAGTTCCTTGCCTGGAGCTGAGCTTTTACTGCTCTCAGCTGTCAGTGGCCGGCCGGCGAAGCCCCGCAAGTCTATACACAATTATACAAAAAACTAGTCTTGTATTCTAAGCCTGCAATGAAGCCTGCACCCACTTCACGATACCTCCTTTGGCGATGATTTCCTGAACATTAGGAGGCATCTCACCAACCTTTTCTACCCAAGAGGTGCCGTCCTGCTCAGTGATGGTCACTTGGGACCGGCGGACGTCCCAAACAAGTTTCCAGCCTGTCCGGCGAGTCAGGGGCTTTTCCGGATCGTCCCCGTACACCTCACGAAGCCGCTCGACCAGTTTCGGGATTTCAATACCAAGAAGAGCATTATTAATGCCTTGTTTTTCTTTAGCATCACGCGCAAAGAAGGAGAATCAAGAGTACTCACTATTGCGGCTGAAGATATTGCTGAAGCTGCCAGCAACAACGAGAGGGATCCGGTTGGCTAGGATAGAAGTGGCGGCCTGTTCCCGGGAAGACCCAGAGCCGAAGGAATATCCGGCTACCAGCACATCATTTGGTCTAATGATATTGCGGAACTCGGTATCGTAGTTCTCCATGCACACCAAAGCCATCTGCTCTGTTGTCATGCCATCCTGGTAAGTATAGCGTCCTGGGTAGATACCTGATAAACGCAAAAGGGTTAGCACTTCAGAGCCTTGTTGGGTCTTGTATTTTAACAATACCATCAGTGTTAATGTTGTCATTATCGCCTACAGCGGTTAGCGAATGACTCCTCAACCGTATACAACAGCCACTCACAAAAAACGATTTCGCCCTCGACTTTCTCGGGGAAGCCCGGGAGGACATCCGTCAAGGCCTCGCCTTCAGTGGCTGGGGGACTGGTCGACTTCCCAGCAGCCCCTTCAGCTTCAGCAGCGCTAATCACGCTCTCCATCTCACCGATGACTTGTCCAAAAGCATCTTCAATGGAACGAGCTTTATCGGCAACAAAGTCGCCGGTGCCCTCGCCAACAACAACCTTCTCAACTCCTTCGGGCTTCAAGTACCAACCAGGACTGGCAATCCGACCCTTAATGGCACTGGCCGCGACTACCTCGGGGCTAGCGAGGTAACACAGCGCCTTGGGGCTACCTTGAACAGCAAGTTAACATGGTGCGTAAAAAAAGCTCGAGACATGATGGAGTTACCCATGCGCCCTTTGTAGTTCCTATTACTTGCCGATATGCCCACCTCGCCTTCCTCGAGTAAGCCCTGCGTGAAGGATCAGGTTAGCGTTGGAAAGGAGCTTTGGAATGTAGGTAGGATATTTGCTACATACACGGCCCAAGCCTATGCAGGCTCCACATCCGGCCGGAAGTAGCTCAGCTCCAGACTGCGCGAGAACCTGCCAGTCTCCAGCCTCTTCCGACATGCGCTGTTCGGCCAGGGATGCAGGTGCGAGATAGAGCTTGACACTAGGATGGACCTTGGCAGGCTGGCCATTGTTACCGGCCTCGCGGAAGACACGAGCAGCAGCTGCGAAATCCGTACTCCTACCATTGGTGCAACTTAGAAGATATGCCTTGTCTATAGCAATATCCTCAGCAGCGAGCTTCTCAACAGGGTTGGCAACTTTGACTGAGTTGGGACCAGCAACGAAGGGTGAAAGGGTGGATCTGCGATTTTGTTAGTCTGTTGGGAGTAACATTTATGAACGAGACAGCCAGGATGACTGTTGCTTACAGATCGAGGAAATATTCCTTTGCGTATTTGGCACCAGGATCAGCCACAAGGGTATTCTCCAGGAGCTCGTCAATCCGCTTCTGGTTTATACGATCCTTGGTAGAACCGCCAGACGTGGCTGCGGCTGTGGCTCTGGCGCGGTACCACGAGATGAGCGTCTCGTCGACAGGGAACAGTCCCGATAGAGATCCCATCTCAGTTGTCATGTTGGCGATTGTCAAGCGTTCGGATATGGGGATGCTTGCAAGAGTCTGTCCAGACCCGGTGAACTCGACACACATATTCAAAACTTCTGACTTGAGCAAGGCGCATAGGGCAATGATCGTGTCTTTGCCCGTAACCCCCGGAGGCAGAGTACCCGTAAAGGTAATTTTGGCAATTGGCGGGACTCGCCAGAATACTGTCGAGGTTGCGAGGACACTTGCGGCGTCTGAGCGGACGATGGCTGTGCCGAGACATCCAACGCCACCGTAGATGTTGGAGTGACTGTCGCTAGCAACACTAACGGTTCCTGGCCAGGCGTAGCCTTCTTCAACCATAATCTGATGCCCGATTCCGTGTTTGGCGGGGTCTATCCAAGTCAACTCGATGCTTCAAAGAGTGTTCGGAGGGGAAGTCCTGGAGCTGCGCATACAAAAATCAATGCCCTGCTTGTTGGCAAACTCCTCAATCAGACGGTATTTGCGTAAGTTTTGCTCAGAGTCGTTCTGCACATCATGGTCAAGCCTGGGACAGTCAGACAGGGCTTGTGGGCTGGGTCAGGACAAGGTAACATACGTCATGACGACCTGACGATTGTCCTTGACTGAAGTAGCACCCATTTCCATAAACCTACACAGCTTAGTTAATGTGCCATTGCGACGAGTCAAGCGCTTACTTGGTAATCACAGGAAACGAGTTGTCGTGAGTCATACTCTTATGAGGGCTTTGGCCAAAGAGCGACGTCAGCTCAATTTCCCGACCTTCGAACCAGGACTAGACCAACCGCAGTATCACGTAATCTCCAGCTCTGACTCTTCTTCCTCGGGCGACGCCATCTGCGTGAAGTTGTACAATCTTCTCGGTAAGTGTCTGTGGGTAGGTCCGAGTGGCGGAGTCCAGGGAGGACTGGAGGGCGGAGAAATTGGGAGCGGTCTCGAGCTGTGAATGGAAGGCCTGTTGGCATTGCGGACTGGCTGAAGCATAGTTGCGGAACCGAGGTATAGGCACTGCTAACAATCGCGAGCGGGTGATCGAGGTTCGGGTCTGCCGCGTTGCAAGCGCGGCGGCATCAAGACATATCGCTCTTCGCTAAAGAAATACCATTCAGTCAGTCTCGATGGGAAAGCTGCACGCAATAGAGAATCGGTAGCTTGGAGGAACATACAAGAGCAGACATGATGGATAGGTGCAGTCGGGCAATTGCGTTGATGATCTCAGAGTGATTCTTCGGTGGAGGGGGAATTGTGCCTCCCAAAAAGAAAACTTTTGAGAACTCTCGGCACAATGTCGGTACACCTTGGGCAATATTACATAACTTGGTAATCTGATGAGGAAATGGAAGTGGGGCTGGCGGGGGGGGGGGGGGGGG